ATTTTTTTAAAAAAGTATATATATATATATATATATATATATATAATTATTAGTTTACCTATAACGATTCTAATAATGTTATTAATATTAAAGAATATTATTACTACTAATAATAGACACAATTTTGTATTTAATAATATTAAATACATTTTTTAAAACATTAATGAAATATATAATTTATAACTATATAACTTAAATAGTTGAACAAATATATAGTTTTAAATATTATAAAAAATAATAATATATCAATATATTAATAATATTCTCCTTATTAATTTTTATAATATTACTAATACTAATTAATATTTAGGTTTTATTATTTAATATTTGTCGTAATTATATTTTTAGTCATCAAATATTATAATTGTGTGATTTTAGTCTGTCATGTTTCAATTGAGCGAATTAAATCCCTAGGAATTGTAATAGTATAATTTTGATCACTTTATCAATTTTAGTTAAAAAGATATCATGTGTTATTAAGTAAAATAATTTTATCAAGAGTTATTTTTTATTAATTTGATCCATTCACTCTTTCTCTCTCTCTCTATATATATATATATATAATTTTTCATTTGTATATTAAAGAAGTTCATTGGTTTAGTGATTAAATCTTATTGTTAAAAGTAACATAAAGAGTTCAATCCTCATTTTCTATATTTTAACAATTCAAGCATCATGTCATCCGTAAATGTCACTTAAAAAATGTTAGTTTTTTTTTTAATGAAAATTGATAGAGGGATTAAAATTACACTATTATGATACTTGGAGACTTAATTCATTCAATTGAAATTTGAGGGACTAAAATCATATAATTGTAACCATTACAAAAAAAATGTTACATAGAGTGTCATACAAAAAATGTCACTATAGATACAATATATGTAAGTATAAATTTATTTAACATATAACTATATTCAATTTTTATGTTGATTTTAAATGAGATTCAATAACATATATTATATGTCACTAATCTATAGCCTATACTTGCACGTTTTAATAATATATCAACATATATTATATCTATAGTGTGAATAAAAGTACTTTTAGTGACGAGTATTATATCACTATAAGATATGTATCACTGCATAATAATTTTCTTATAGTAAATATTATTTGATAGACTAAAAATGCAATTAAGCTAAATTTTAAATAATAAAGCCTGAATATTAATTATAACTAGTTAAAAAAATTTGCAACAGATGGACTCACACAAAAAGAAATGATCATTTTAACTTAATCTATTTTCTAAAAAGATAATTCATTATTTTTAAAATAAGAGGATTAAATAGAAGTTTCGTGAACGCCTATTTCTCATTCAACCTGTCTGTCAATTGTCTGCCTCTCTCCCTCTCTCTCCCACTTGCCGCCGCTATCAAAGTACAAAAGCAATCACTACAAGCCCTAACCTTGTGCAACCTCGATCCAACAAGGTTGCTCAACCTTGACCTCGCCTCACTGCCCAACCTTCGCCATTGGCCGTTGACAACCTCGCAAAGTTGTCCAGCCCCAACCTTGACCCTAGTTGATGTATGTTTGAATTGACTTCAATAGAGGCAAGTTCGAGTCAATTTTTAGTGGATGATTGATTTATTTATTTTTAATTTTTTTCCCGATTTGTCTATCTTTTTGAATTTTTTTAGTTGATTTATGGTTTTTTCTAATTGTTGTTCATCTCTTTGGTAATTTCCCTATTCTAATATTTATAGTTTTTTTCTCATCTTGATTGATGGTGGTTCATGTTGAAAGAGATTTTTTATTCATAAGCTACATATCTTATATGAGAAAAGTTGCATAAATTTTAAGCAACCCACAATCTCAGATAGAAGCAACTTTGAGGATTCTAGCGTTAAAGATACTTTAATATTCCTTAGAAAAGTTAACCAAGTAATTTTTTTAATGAAAAAGATATACCACATATTTTTTGTTTGTATTTAATTTTCGGAACATATTATTTTGTTATCTTCTAACAATATTGCGAAACAAATCATTTCAACTATATTATTATTTTGATATTTTATTTTGTCACTATGTGAATGCAAGGTCACTGATTTGCTACTGGTATAAATCCTAACGATGGTGTCAACGTGACGCATGTCAAACATAGAGAGTAGGAAAAGATCTATATATTCTTTTCCTTTGAAACTTCATTATCTATTTCTCATATATCTATTTTATTTTAAAGTTAGACTATCCACAATAGGAATTAAAATTCAAGCCCCTTCTTAATTCTTTCACCTAGGGTTGTTGCAACGCAAGAAAAGAAAATTAAGATTACGAGAGTTATTGGAAAGCAAAAAAATGAAACGAAGCACGAAGCGTGGTCCGAAGTGGTACAGTGAAGAAGAGAAGCAGGTGGCTGAACTTCTTCTTGAGTTTCATGATTCAGAACCTAACTCATTCATATGGGGTAGTATCTTTGGAACATGGGGCCGCACAAAAAAGAGATCCACATTTGTAGACTTTCCTCCACCGTCCGTTATGCCAATGTCATTGCAATGCGGTGGTGGCGCCCTTTCACATGACGCCAAAACAGTGTTTAAAGGCAAGGTTTCAAGTCTTTGGATGCCTCTCTTCCTTTCGCCCGCTGAATCCAACCAGATATCCTGTGCTTCCCGTAAAAAACTTTCCCTAAAGGTACTTTTTTTTTCTTCTCTTTCCTTAACTTTTCATTGTTCAACATTTTTCATCTTTGTATTCATAATTCATAATTAGCTAGTCGTGCATTCAATCTAGAATTGTTTGAATAATACTCAAATTCGATCCAAAGATATATTTGTCAGATTTTACTTAGTCAAATTAGTCTAAAACTTTAACACTAATACAAAATCATAAAAGATATTCATAATTTGTTTTCTTAAAACTATTGAGTCTAAGTAATCGTATAAAACAATCCAAAATGTAAAACCAGACTACTCACCCATTGAACTGGGAGGAAAGTCTGTCTTATTAATCCAATAGTGAAAGGGCTTTACGATAAAAGCTCACATTGAAGAAAAAGTTTGACGTTTGAATATTAGCTCTTTGCACCTGTAGCTTAAATAATTAAGGTTCATATTTCATCTCAACAAATTATTTTTAAATTTTTTGTTGGAATAAGCAAGATATTATTTCTTTAAATTGGAAGATGTTTCCCTTTCTGAGTAGCAACTGGCATTGATTTTGCCCAAAATTTTAGAAACATAAAAACAATCAAATAAGTTAATCTATTTTTAATTATATTTGATTTGATTTGTATTTTACTTATTCAAAATTTCTCTTTCTCTGCATTTTCTTCTACCGTTGAAAACAACGAATTTTGTATACTTTTACCTTTTTTACAATTTTTTTTAATGAATATATGTTTTGAATAATTATATGCAAAGTTTACCAAAAAAAAATAATTATATGCAATGTTTTATCTGATTTTTGGGTTATTTTTGGCATTTTTTTTTCTGTCAATAGAGTAAAACATGTTATCTTGAAAATATTGGAGATTTGGCAACGACAAATGTTCCTGAAAATATAGAAGGATCGAGAAAAAAGAAAGTTTCAGTGTGTAATGTAAGTTATTATTTTTTTTTCTCTCCTTTTGTTGTCTCATTTGTCTTTATTGGATTTTTTTTTAGTTGTCAATTTGCTGAATTTCGGATCCGCATACATTGATTTGCATTGATTTAATCTTTGGATCATGTTCAGTTATACATGCAAAATGAAATTAAATGAAATTCAACCATAATTTTTTATTGAAGTGAAAATATTTATTGTAACAACTTTTATTTTTTATATGCGTATATATTCAAATTATATTTTAAAATTTCTTATATGGGATTTTATTTGTATTATTTTATTTTAGGCTTAAATATGTTTTTAGTCCCTCAAATTTAGGGTAATTCTATTTTCAGTCCTTCAAATTTAAAATTGTTATTTTTAATCTCTATAATTTCAAAAAATCTTATTTTAGTCTTTATATTCAAATTTTGTTAAAAAATTTATCAAATATTATTGCATAAAATCTACCTATTAGTGTCCCTATTAGTAAAAATATCACATTAAATCCAGTTGATATTGCATAACTGTCTTAATTAGTCACTTTCAAATACGTTGTTGGTAACTTAAGAGATTAAAAAAAGACTTTTAAAAATTATAGGGACTAAAAACAATAATTTTAAATTTGAGAGATAAAAACAAATTTATCTTAAATTTAAAGGACTAAAAACATATTTAAACCTTTTATTTTATCTTACTTATTCTTTACTTATGATGGGTCTCAAATTTTATTGTGATTTACCGAACTACTGTTATTTTTTTACACAGATGAACGGCTCCAAGGATGAATACAAAACGAAAAGGTCCACTCCAGAATGTGGGTCGTCAAAGCAATTTCATGTGAATGTGAAGGTCAACTCTTCTGACTCCAAGACTCCGAATGAGAAGCAAAAACAGCCTCAGCGTCAGCAAGTGCAAACCCCACATATATCTCTGACGATGCCCAATCACAATCTGACGTGTGGATCATCGGGTTTTGTCGTGTCTTCTGGTCTCCCAACGACGTCGTTGCAAGTGCCATTCTCTTCATCTAATGGACTGGGCCATGTCATTGCTAATGTGGGCCCACCGGCCCTACCGGATCTAAACTTGAGTCCAGAAAAGTTATCCCCAATGGGCTCGTCTGAAGAGTGTGATGAGGCCACGGCACTGAGGAATTTAAATAGAGCCATTGCCGCTGAAGCCAGGATGAGGAGGGCTTTCATTTGCAAGCAAAACAAGATTCGTGCGAACAGTAAACCACCTCGTTCCTCATAGACATTGACATGAAAATATTTTATATTTTTTATGGGTAGAAATTATAATGACAATAAAAAAATTTGAATTTAAATTTAAATTTTTGTGTGTATTTTAATATATTTTTTTAAATTCTTTTAGTCCCTTTTCTCTCTCCATTTTAATATTTTGAATATAACTTAGAGGAGTAAAAGTAAAAATCATAGGGATTCGAGTTGCAATTAGGGAAACCCCGAAAGATTCAGCATGATTAATTGATTGATTATGGTCAATTATTTATTCTTGGGAATAACATATTTTATAACTTGTATATGATATTAATGTTTGATATTCTTAATTATTTATCATTTATGTTAAATTTGAGACAATGAGATTATGGTAGTAATTTATTTATCGATTAATATATTTTAATATTATTTTGTTGATAGGTTCTTTCTAATATTATTTTATTATCAAATTTAAAATTTGAATTCAAGATGTTGATGTTTGAGAACCAATCACAACACCGATCGGACTAACGAACATTGATCAATGTTTTACTATTATTTGAAAACACATGAATTATTAATTATGTAAAATGAGTTATTTTTATCTTTAACAAAAATTGTCTATTTTATGCAATATATATATATATATATATATATATTTTAAGAGAAAGAAGCATTTTGTATCTCTAAATATTTTAAAAATAAAATAATAAATAGTGTGAGCGATTATTCATAATTAATTAATGGTAATTACTAAAATTATATTTCTTTCTTAATAATTAAGAGTAAAATCATAATTATGAGGACAAAAATTGGTTAGAAAAGAAATATTTTCTTTATATATATAATATCTCTTTTTCTAACCAATGCATCTTTAAAAGATTAAAAAAAACACAGTGCTACAAAAGATAAATACCTACTTATCGATAATAACTACTTAATCCTTTTTCCTTACAAGATATAATAAAATAAATATTTTACAAAATATTGTTTTAAAAGTAGAAACATTTAGATAGAGTAGGGTTGTCAAAATCAAATACCTGGTTGAGAACCATTGTCTATACCAAAATGATTTTCTCCTTGGAACGGAGCAGTTGAAATAAATTAAGCAGGTTGATTTTAGAGGGAAAAAAATTGGTGACCCAATGTACTGATTTTAGTTATAAATGTTATTTTTTTGAGAAAAAAAAATTAAAAACAGTTGTTGGGACTTTGCAGCAAATGTAGCTTTTTCAAGTGTACTCATTTTGAAAAGCATGGTTACTGGTTAGTTCACTGGCAACAAAGTTGTTCATTACTTTTACTTTTTTTGTTTACTTGTTACTCTCTTCGATTCTTTTCAAGTGTCGTATTTTTTAAAATAAAAACATTCTTTTTATTTGTCATTTTCAGATTTTCAACTAGTATTAATTTTTTCTTTCAATTATAATATTGTATTCTGTACTGTCCCAGTCGGATCCCGATCTGATACCCTTTATAGGTATTGATCATATGACTCTTGAATATGGGTAGTCTCGGTCAGCAGGCGATCTAACTTTCCACGTATGTAAGATCAGTCGGACCTCGATCTCACCCACTCCCCGGTGAACTCGGCCAGGGTGTGCTCAGTTAGGGTGTACTCGGCCATGGTGACCTCGGCCAGGATGAGCTCGGCCAAGGTGAACCCACCAGGATGAGCTCGACCATGTTGACATCAGCCATGGTGCAGTCGGCAAAAGTCCGAGTGGGTCTCACGTTAGGTGCTCCGAGGATTAAGGATGACAATTCTATCTCACTTCAGGTTCCGGGAAACCACGATTCTACATGATGACATGATTATCAGCTTATTTCCCGATATGATTCTCGGCCTATTTCCGATGTGGTTCGAATGGGCAGTTGCTATATCCCTTTCGCCTTATAGGCTCAGGGCTGGAAGGCAAGTGTACCGTCTCGGTCAGATCCCGATCTGATACCCTTTACAGGTTTTGATCCGATGATTCTTGAATATGGGTCTTCTTAATCGGACTGTGATCTCACCCACCTTCTGGACGAGCTCGGCCATGGTGATCGGCCAGGGTGTGCTCGGCCATGGAGAGATCGGTCAGGGTGTGCTCGGCCATAGAGAGGTCGGCCAGGTGTACTCGGCATGGTGAGATTAGTCAGGATGTGCTCGGCCATGGTGAGATCGGCCAGGGTGTGCTCGGCCATGGTGATCGGCCAGGGTGTACTCGGCCATGGAGAGATCGGCCAGGTTGTACTCGGCCATGGTAATGATCAGCCAAAGTCCGAGTGGGTCTCACCCCTTGGACTGGTCCGAGAATCAAGGATGAAAAGCCTATATTTGATAATCAAATATTCCCAAGGAAAACCGTTATGAAAATCCTCGCGCTCACAAGGCCCAGGAGGCCCATGAACAGAAAAGCATAAAACCTAAAACCCTAGAGCTAAGACGGCAGATTACACTTTTGAATGCTCTGGCTCTAAGGCACGATATAGGAAAAAACCCTAGTCTAACCCTTGGCTGGAACATTTTGGCGCCCACCGTGGGGCTACGGTGAAACTTTTCCTACGCCCCAAGTAACACAGAATAATCCGCACTTTACCATGGCGAGAGGCGGCACATCCAACAGCGACTCACAACACCCTACCATGGAGGAGATGATGGCATTGATCAAAGTTTTGAGGGAGGAGAATGCGCGATCCAGGGAGAGAGAGGAGGCTATTCAACGAGAAAACGAGGAGATTATGAGGCGGGTGGACGAGATGCAAGCTATGATAACGACCAACGCCAGGACGGCGGAGGAAGATGTCATGATGGAAGTCCCCAGAGATTTTCAACCTTTTTCGGAGGCCATAGAGGCTGAGACCATCCTGAGGGATCATCGGATTCCCCAAGTCGAACCTTTTGATGGAACTCAGGATCCCAGTCAGCACTTGACAAATTTTCGCGCTCAAATGTTGATTTGTGGAGGAAGTATGGAAGTCCGCTGCAAACTATTCATGGGTACACTCAAAAAAGCAGCACTGGATTGGTTTAGTGGTCTCCCTGACCGATCAATCACCGACTTTGATGTCTTTAGTCGGCTCTTCATGGCACAGTTCGCCGCTAACAAGAAGAAACCACCGATCACGTCGGACTTGTTCGACCTCAAGCAGCAGCGAGAGGAATCGTTGAAGGACTTTCTGCAAAGGTTCAATGAGATCGCCTTGAGGATAGCGTCCTTGGATGAAAGGATGGCAGTCATCGCGTTCCAGAAGGGCTTAAGGTCTGGAGCTTTCGACATCGTGCTGGAGAAAGCGAATTGTTAAACGATGTCGGAGGTGAGAGCTTTCGCCCTGAGTCACATCAAGACGGAGAAGGGAAAAATCAACAAAAGGGCAGTTGAAAGCCGAGAAGATGGGGTCGTCCCAAGAGATTTGTATTCCATATAAAAATGTGAAAAGGTTCTTTGCTGATAAAGTTTTTAACGAGGCACCACTAACCAATAATTTCAATTTTATTAAATATCATCTCTTTTATATTTCCATGATCGACAGGTGTGTTATTTAAAGGCAACAAACTCGTGATTGATCGGTAAAAATCCGACTGGGCGAGTATAAATAACTCGAAGACCAAAACTCGTGATTGTCGGCAAAAGTCCGGCTGGGCGAGTATAAATAACTCGAAGACCAAACTCGTGATTGTCGGTAAAAATCTGACTGGGCGAGTATAAATAACTCGAAGACCAAACTCGTGATTGTCGGCAAAAGTCCGGCTGGGCGAGTATAAATAACTCGAAGACCAAACTCGTGATTGTTGGCAAAAGTCCGGCTGGGCGAGTATAAATAACTCGAAGACAAACTCGTGATTGTCGGCAGAAATCCGACTAGGCGAGTATAAATAACTCAAAGATCAAACTCGTGATTGATCGGTAAAAATTCGACTGGGCGAGTATAAATAACTCGAAGACCAAACTCGTGATTGTCGGCAGAAATCCGACTGGGCGAGTATAAATAACTCGAAGACCAAACTCGTGATTGATCGGTAAAAATTCGAATGGGCGAGTATAAATTAACTCGAACTATTTTCTATCATTATATAAGAGATTGGAATCTGGACGATGTGTCTCTCCGTTTTACACCTGGTCGACATTCTAGAGACCTGGTCGGCGTTTTGGAGACCTGGTCGGCATTCTAGAGACCTGGTCGACATTCTAGAAACCTGGTCAGCATTCTAGAGACCTGGTCGGCGTTTTGGAGACCTGGTCGACATTCTGGAGACCTGGTCGACATTCTGGAGACCTGGTCGGCGTTTTGGAGACCTGGTCGGCGTTCTGTAGACATGGTCGGTATTCTGGAGACCTGGTCGGCATTTTGGAGACCTAGTCAACATTTTGTAGACCTGGTCGGCATTTTAGGGACCTTGTCAGCATTCTAGAGACATGGTCGGCGTTTTGGAGACCTGGTCGGAATTTTGGTGACCTGGTCGGCATTTTGGAGACCTGGTCGGCATTATATACTAAGAAAAAGTTCTTAACTCAGTTTTTATTTCTTCATTAATCGCGAGGTTAGCATTTTGGAGACCTGGTCGGCATTTTGGAGATCTGGTCGGCGTTTTGGAGACCTGGTCGGCATTTTGGAGACCTAGTGTTATATACCCAAAAAAAAAAGTTTTAAACTTGGTTTTTGTGTCGTAAGGTCGGTAGGATTTTGATCTCGATCCATGTCTCGAGGAGGTTCAATCAGAGTCCGAGCTAGATCCGATCTCAGGGACAGCTAAGCCCTTGCGCCTACATGCTTAGGGCTGGAAGGCAAGTGTACTGTCCCAGTCGGATCCCGATCTGATACCCTTTATAGGTATTGATCATATGACTCTTGAATATGGGTAGTCTCGGTCAGCAGGCCATCTAACTTTCCACGTATGTAAGATCATTCGAACCTCGATCTCACCCACTCCCTGGTGAGCTCGGCCAAGGTGTGCTCGGCCAGGGTGTACTCGGCCATGGTGACCTCGGCCAAGATGAGCTCGGCCAAGGTGAACCCACCAGGATGAGCTCGACCATGTTGACATCGGCC